CTTGAGTCTATTATAGAATTCAGCAAACTCATTGGGTCCTGAAATGGCATTGAGTTCCTCCTTTCGTAATCTGCAATTTCAAGAAAAATCCAAAGAACACAGAGGATTAAGTCTATTCTTTAACCATGACACCCCAGAAGAATTAACTTGTGGACTAACTATATCGGTCACTTACCCATCCTTGTCATCATACAAATCCCTCAGGTTCCCACTGACTTCCATATACCTCTGAAAGGCAAAGACAAACCCATCAGAATGAAATAATCTATATAAACAGGGCTAAGCAACTGAGAAGGGCTCTATAGTCAAAATCCAGGGAAACCTCACGAGATGTGATGTTGAAAGTTCCTGGCTTTCTGGTACCTGCAACAGAAAGCACTGGTTCCTGGTTAGTTTTCAAAATAGGCCAGTTTGAATACTACCTAAGTGATATTCTGCATGAGGGCAGAATGCCTATATCTACAGGCTACTGATGCTTAACTTTTCCTCAGAGTCATATAAGGCGTCCCCCTTTGCTAAGTAGCAATTCTCACCTAAGACCCTCAAAGATGAAAGGGGTGGTCCGAGATGATTTTCACTACTTCAAAAACACTTGACTGAGGAACACACAGGCTAAATAAAACATCACACAGGTTCCTTTGGATTCAAACTCAGGATGGTACAAGTACATAGTCCCTCCCCCAAAATTTGTGGAACCAGATGTTTCAGAATTTGGAAAGGTGCTATATATTCTCTAACATCCCTTCAACTACTTCAAAACAATATTCCGTGAGGCAAATACTAATATACAGCATTCTCTTTGGGGGAGATAGGACTTGAGTCATTGACTCCTCATAACTTCTTGGCACACACCTGGGATGCAGGATGCTGTAAGTGGGGGAGTCTTCAGAGGAATGAATGAATGAGTCCCCCATTCAGAGAAGCGAGGAGGGGCAATCGAGCACCCTCAGGTTTGGCAGTCGCGTGGCCATCTCCAGGCAGACAACCCACCGCTGGCCAACTATTTACCTTTGCCCAAGGTTCCATGTTCAGACCCCGCACCCCGCCTCCCTTTCTTTTCCAGTTCATCCCGACACAAAGAGAAACGGACAGCGGGGCACTCACATCTTGCATGGCTCTCGTGCGGTGGTCAGAATTGATCTGGTCCCGGAGCTGTAGAAAGACAAACGGTAACACAGGCGCCGTCAGTAGGAGTTTTGGAGTGGGAAAGGCCGCCCGAGGGCGGAGCTTACAGCTCGGGGAAGAAGAGGCGCCTCGGGGCGCAGTGCCGGGAGGAAGCTACCACTGCCTGAGCTCCAAGAGGGAGCCCCGGGACGGGCTGGGGCGGGGCCCGGGAAGGGTCCGGGCGCCAAAGAAAACTCTCAGCGGTTCCACACACCCGGAGAGGGGCCCAGCGTCAGATGGAGCGCCTACCCAGGCCCACTCACCGTGGACTTCTTAGTGAGCATCTCTTTGGCCATGACGTCCATGAGCCGTTCCTTCTCCTCATGATACCGCCGCTGCTGCTCCAGAATTGTCTCCATTTTATCTTCGCCGCCTCAACTCAATTCAGACCACCGCCACGGCCGGAAACAACTCCTGCCGCCTCGCGCGCCCGCGTCCCCACGCTGCGCATCCGGCCGTACCAAAGTTCCGCAAGCACCGGAAGCGCCTCGGGGACGCGAGGAAAGTGAGCACCACAACCAGATTCCCGGCTATGCTGGCGAAATGGCAACAGTGCCCCCTGCTGGCCGGAGGGGTAGTGGCGGTAGGCCGAGCGGTTTGCAGGTGCCTCTAGGGGGCATGCAGAAATCCCTCCAGGAACCTGAAGTTAAGCTTCTTGGGGCTTCCTGGGGGGTGGGCAGGCGTGGACACTGTATGGGCTGAGGGATGGTTGACGATCATAGATGGGAACCGGAGGATCGGAAACGGAGTCCCCTTCTGTCAGTGTGACCTCTAACATTTTATCCTTTTCGGAATCTTGGTGTCCTTGGTAGTAAAATGGGGATCGATGATAGCAGTTTTGTTTTTGTTTTAAAGAAATTCACATGTGTGAGTAACCTCATTGTCTCGCAGCAGGGGACTGGCTAAATAAAGTATGGTACATGCACTCAGTGAATGCTCTACAGCAGCTTTAAAACATGTCAATCTCTTCATACATTCAAAACGTTATTCAGGGCCTCCGTGGTGCTGCAAGGGGTTAAGCACCGCACTATGAAGCAATTTGCAGCCTCTGCAGCACGGGTTCGATCCCTGGCCGGCCAGAGAGCAACCCACATGGTGCAGCAGGCCTCTCCTGACTCGCCCACTACTCCCCTCAGCAGTGTACTTCGGTTGATCTACCTGTTCTGTACCCCACTTTGTCTCTGAATCCTCTCACCCCCCGCACCTCTGGCCTGTACCCCAGTTCTTGTATGCATAAATAAATATATCTTTAAAAAATAGTTATTCATAATGAGCAAAAACTGGACACAAACCTAAAATCCATTAACTGGTAAGCGGGTAAACAAAATGTGGCATGTCCATACAATAGACAATAACTTAGCTGTAAGGAATTCTATAGTATGGACGAACCATGAAAAGATCATGCTAAATAAAAAAGCCAAACACAAAAAATGACGTAGTGAAATGTCCAGAAAGGTAAATCAATGGAGACAGAAAGTAGATGAGTGGTTGCCTGTGGCCAGAGCTGAGATTGAAAGTGACTGCAAAGTGGGTACAAGAGTCTTTTTGAGGGTGATGGAAACATTCTAAAATTGGATGGTGGTGATAGTTGCTAAAATTAATCAAGTTGGAGGCTTCCCTGGTGGCACAGGGGTTGTGCTATCAAGCTATCGCCAGCCACTACAACATGAGTTCTATCCCCAGCCAGGGAACTGACCCACATGGTACAGTAGACCTCTCCTATCTCTCCTGCTGCTTCCCTCAGCAGTGTATTTCAGTACCTCTACCTGTTCTGCTTCCCACTCTGTCTCTGGTGACTCCTCTCACCCCCCCACACCTCTGGCCTGCACCCAAGTTTTTGTATGTATAAATAAATAAATCTTTTTAAAAAATAAATCAAGTTGCACACTCAAGATGGGTGAATCTTCTGGTATGTAACTCATACCTCAATAAAGCTGGTAAAAAGTCTGTATGAACTTGGCTGGGGGCAAAGTTTGAGATCTATGACATTTTCTTGAGCATATGATAACATCAAATATAACTTATTATTTATGCTCCACTAAGAAAGAAAAAAATTGCCAATTAAAAGGTCACTCCTTTGGGGGCCTCCCCGTGGCCTAGAGATTATGTCTCAGTGCTATCACCATGATGGCCTGAGTTTGATCCTGGCCAGGGAGCTAACCCACATATGGAGCAGCAGACCTCTCCTGTCTCACCCGCTGCTCCCCTTAGCAACATATTTCAGTAGATCTGCCTGTTCTGCTCCCCACTCTGTGTCTGGTGAATCCTGTTACCCTCTGTATCTCTGGCCTACACCTCAGTTCTTCTATGCAAAAATAAAGTAATAAATCTAAAAAAAAAAAAAGGGGTCACACCTCAATTATACAATGCATCTGGGCTTCTGAGATATTAAATCTGAAAAATGTTTATCTTGAAATCGGGGACACAGTGTTACACCTACACATCTTTTCCCCTTAGGTGGGTGTACCACCCAAGCAACACTGTTCACCTGGCCCCATCTTTCCCTATAACCGTCTTCATATATCAGAACATGTACCAAGTCCTGTTTTTTCCATTCCTGCTGCCACCTGCCTGTGTCTCACCCAGACCCTGAACTAGCCTCCTCTCCAGCCTGCTCATCTTACCCCTCCAATCCATTATTCATGGTGCCGCCTGAGTGATCATCTCACCACAGGGCTTAAACATTTCCACTGGGTAAGTTACCTGCAGGGTGAGGTCTGTTTAACTTGGCATCCTGTTTTCAGGACCTGGGCTCTGCCGTTGAAATTACTTGCTGCTACCCCAAAGCACCTTACGTGTTTTCAGGCCTCCAGGCCTTTGCACCAGCTGTTTCCTAAGCTTGAACTACCCTCCCCCTAGCAGGTATTTATTAAACATGTAGTAGGTGCTGGGACCTGAGAATGGGAGGTGGGAGAGGGCTAGGAAGAGGGGAGCAAAGCAGGCATGAACCCAATCCTCATAGGGGCTGGTGGAAGAGACAAAATGTAAACTTTAATTATTACAGATAAGCACAGGGGTAGGCTTCCTAAAGTTTCGGTGAAAATGTCAACCACGGTCACAGAAAGTTTAGGATTCAATTAGGCAGAGGAGGCAGTGTGAAGCTGGTGAGACTCTCAGAGCTCCCAAGAACTATTGCACTACTTGTGTGACTTTGGGGCCTGTGAAATGGAAAACTGCCCGCCCTACAGGATTTGGGTGAGGATTTAATGTGAGATACGAATAATCACACAATTCTGCAGGACCTGAGCCCCACCCCCACCGCCCCAGCCTGGAGGGTCGGCGGTCCCCGCGGCGCCAGCCCCCACCGGGGAGGCTGCAGGCGGCCCGAAGGGCGACCTAGCCCGCCCGCTCCGCGCGCGCACCAGCCGGGCTGCAGCCGCCCAAGCGCCGAGCCCAGACCTCAGGCTGCGCAAGGGCAGGGGCGTCGGACGCAGGGCGAGGGGAGCGGCGCTCCGCCCCATCTCCCCACTTTGAGGGACAGCCCCCCTCGCTCCTTCCCGCCCCCGCCTGGAATCACCGCGGGAGGGGGGTAGGGGGCGGGGCCGTGACCCATTCAAGCCGGGAATCGGATCCAGATGTTCCCGCGGCGCGTGCAGCTGCATCCTTGCCTTTTTTGGCAAAAAACGTGTGGCCGCAAGCGGATCCCGGGCCGCCTCCGCTAATCCTGGGGAAGAGGGGGAAGGGGCCCGAGGGTCTGGGCTCAGCCTGGGGATCCGCACCGCCCGCTCCGAGCGATTTGGGGAGGGCTGTTCCAGGCTGGGAACCCAACGCCACCACTGCTCCTGTCAGGAACCTCTCCCAAACCCCTCCCTTCCCCACACCGAGGAAAATACCCTCCGCCAGCAGGGGGGGGGCAGGCCAAGCTGGAGAAGGTCCACAGCAGTGGCCAGGGTTCCCCTTCCTCTTGGGATTAAGCACGCGGTGCCTCGAAGCTCCCTCCCCTTCCCTGCGTGGAAGAAGAACTCTGTGTGAGCCTCAGATCTTCCATGTTCAAAGGAAGCTTCCTTCCCTTCTACCCCAGAAAAATACACAGAGGCCTGTGCTTCCTCACACTGCTTTATTGCAGAATCTGCAAGGGGGTGAGCCAATCCCACCCATCTGCCCATCTCTGGGCAAAACAGAGCTAAAATGAAAGGAGAAAACACTCTGTAGACAGGGGCTGGGCACAATCTTCCATCCTAGGACTGACTCCTTAGCCAGTGAACCTCTGATCTGATGCCCAGGCAGCCCCAGCCCTGGGGACAGGGTGGGGTGGGGAGGGTCAAGTCTGAGTATAGTCTATTTTTGAGGACTTTCAGGCACCCAGAGAGTTTAGATTTGAGGGGGCCAGAGTTCAGGTTTGAGGGGTGGGGTCTAAAGCCCTGAATTGGGGAGGGGGCTTGGCTTGGCAACTGGATTCTAGGGGGTTGGGCTGAATTCTGGATTCCAAGCTTGGGGAGTGAATTTGAATCACTAGAGTTTCCGTAAAATCTCAGGTTTGGGAATCCTGGGTCAGGAAGTACCAGTTTGGAGTGGGGAGGCTGAATCCAGAGCCTAGGGGCTGGGTCCCAGAGGTGATTTAGAAAAGGAGGCTTAGTCCTGGAGGCCTGGTTTGGGAGGGCCTGGGCCCAGGGCCCCTTGCTCAGGGCCCTGCCTGGCTGCAGCCCTGGCATAGCACTTGGTCTCCGTCCGGTACAAAACCTTGGCCCACTAGGGAGGTGGAGCAGCGGGCGCAGGAGAAGCAGCTGTGGTGCCAGTGGCGGTCTTCGAAGGACACATACTTGCCTCCACCGAGTCCTGGAGGGAGGCTGGAGGTTAGCTCTGCGGACCTACAGGGCGGTCCTGCCCCTCAGCCTCTCCCAACCAGATCCCATTCCCTTGCCTGAACCCTACCCACACTATTCTTTGACCCTTGTCTCCCACCTGTGATGGGGCGTTTACAGCTGCTGCACTTGGGTGCAAAGAGTTCTCCAAAACAGGTCACACAGTAGGGATCTTCATCCCGGGAGGTGAACTGCTGCCCCGCCAGGGGCGTCTGGCACCCAGTGCAGACCAGGCACTCTCGATGCCAAGGCTGGTCACGGTATGTCACGCCACCCTGTGTCAGCGTCTGTGGGGGCAACATCTGTCAGCAGAGGGGAGCGAGGTTTCCCACCCTACAGCAGAGCCTTTCCCCCACCAATGAGTGCAGTGGAGATGAGCACCCCCCCACTCCGCTGGCCCAGCCCCCACCTTGCTGCAGCGGGCGCAGCGAGGAGCAAACTTGTTCTCATAGCAGGGCACGCAGTAGTGAGCACCCTTGTCGGGCACAAAGGAACGCGAGCCCAGCGGCTGCTCACAGCCGCTGCACAGGAAGCAGTGCTCATGCCACGTCTGACCTCCATACTCCAGCTTCCGGGACCCTGTGGGGAACAGGGGTCCCACTCAGAGGCTCTGTCCCAAGCTCCTGAGGGCCACCCTCTGCTGCCCCCCAAGTAGAGTTCCCCCCCCGCCCCACTCCCATCGCCTGGGCAGGGTGGTGTCCAGGCACATGCAAGAGTCCCACCTCGTACACTGCACAAGCTAACCTCCCCGCAACACTGGACATGCTGGGCCCCACAAATGAGACACGAGGATTTGGCAGATGCTAAGTGCCCCTACATAGCAAGACACAAGCATCTCAGCACACAACAGGCCTCTGCATCACGGACATGATGTCTGAGTAGGTGCTAAGCCTCTATACACCAGCCATGATGGCTTTAGTACACTCACAGAGACCCCATAGATACCCAGCAGCAAGTCCCTGCCCACACAAAGCTGCTAATGGCCCGAACAAGAGGGATTCTGTATAAGCCAAGCCCCCACGTACCCCAGACATGCCATTCTCCACGTGTTCTAGTCTTTGTATATCAATGAGGGCTGTCATACATATTAAGCCCTGTTTATCTGTGTCTGCACACACCAAGCCCCAGACACCAGCACAACAGTCTCAGCCTGCTCTTATCTCCTGCATGTTCCACACACGGAAGTCTTCAGACATATGAAGCCCCCAGGTGTGTGTATAAAGTGTGTCAGTGTGCCCACACATGTTAAGCCCCTACGTATATACTAGACCAGCTGGTTCGGCACTCAGTCCTCAGGAAGGTGCCAAGCTCGTCAGTTGCCTGCACATGCTAAAACTTCATGTGTTTGTGCCTGGGTATGCTGTTCCCTGTGCATGCGCAGCTCCCAAGAGCATAGCACTGTGACAGATCCTGCATACCGCAGATTTCCAGAAACATGCTGGGTGTACAGGTCTTTACCAGACCAAGTCTCCAAGGATGTACCAGAGAGGCGTGCCAGTCCCGTGCACATGCAAGAACCATTCCCAGATGCCAGATGTGCCAGTCCCTCACATGATGAGCTCCTGGGGACATACCGGGCATGACGGTCTCCCCACAGGCCGAGCACTGGGAGGAGAAGGCGCTGCAGTAGCAGTCATTGCAGAGCAGCTCGCTGTCCTGGCAGGTGAAGGGCTCATCGGCTAGGGAGCGCTGGCAGCGGCAGCAGCGGAAGCAGCCCTCATGGAAGTGGCGGTCTTCATAGAACAGCTCCTGCAGGGAGCGTGGCAGGGGCGCTGGCACCTGTGTCCCCTCCTAGCAGCCTCTACCCACTCCCTGCCCTGTCTGGTCCAGTCCTTACCCTCGAGTCATGCCCGATAAGCTGCTGGCATTCGGCGCAGGTGTTGGCAAAGGTGTTGTCATAGCAGGGCACACAGTGGGGGCCGCTGTCCGTCTGGATGTATTTGCGGCCATACAGGGACTCGTTACATTTCGCACAGTCAAAGGCCTCGCTCATGGTGGCCGTGAGTCCTGTTAGGGGCACCAGGGAGGGTAGGCTCACCCAGAGGGGCTGTGGCTTAATGTTTTGCTAGAGACCTTTGCATTAAAGAAAAGCAAGAGACCAGAATAGGAAATGCCAGGTCAGAAAGGTGGGGATGGGGAAGGGAGCGTCTAAGAACCCAGGAATCCTGCATGTTTATTTCTGTGTTGAGGGTGGCGGTGGGAGGGGGTCAAGAGAAAATCAGGAAGCAGAAGTTGTTTTCTTATCTGGGTCCTGGCAGATCTTGGGGGGAGAGGGCTTTTCCTGGGTCAGTGACTCATTTCCTGACCCAGCCTGAGTTTAGCCTTCACTGTCCCCACTGTCCCCAAGGAGGCAAGAGCAGGGAGCCCCCACTCTATCCCAAGGGCACAGCACCTCCACGCTCTCCTGACTCCCAGGAAGGGACCCTAGGGATATGGGTAAGGAAACCTCTACCTAGAGCTTTGGAGTGGGGATGAGAATGGGCCCTTCCTTCCCCCATCCTGCTCCAGGAAACACGAGGAACGTTAAGGGGAGGTTGGGCAGATGAATGGTGGAGGTGGAAGAGGCTAATGTCTCACATTAGGTCTCCCCTCCCAGGAGAATCGGTCCAGCAACAACTTCAGAGGCTCAGCCTGGGTTTGAGCAGGAAGGAAATCCTGCAAGCTGGACACAGCCAAGCTTCCCCAGATCACCCTCTGCCCTCACCCCCCCTGCCTTCCGCAGTGTGTGTCCCTGGTCACACCAGCCTGGGCAGCCTTGGTCTGCAACATCTGCAGCAGCTGTGGCAGTACAGATGGCCAGATGTCAGGTTCTGCCAGCAACATGAGGAGAAAAATGGGAAATCAGATGCCTGGGGAAGCAGAGGGGAACTGGCAACTGAGAGCATGCGCCCCCTGCCATCTCTGGCAGCATGTGGAGGAGCCCCGGGATCTTCCCATTCCTGAGGTCACTACTTCCCTCTATTTCTCTCCGCCTGCCTCATAGCATTTTTCCTTACCTCTTCTGACTCCTAAGGGTTTGGGACAGGGGGAGTGAAGGGCAAGGGAGTGGGAGCCATTGAAGACATTTTCTTCCCAATCAGTACCCCTCTTGGGTGGGGACTCAGGCCAGGGGGAGCCCTGAAAGCTGTTGCTGCAGACACCCAGCCCCCACCAAACCTCAGACACTTTCCATTTTCTCAGGAACAAAGCATGTTTGCATGATGAGGTCATCCACACAGCTGCCTCTGGAACAGGAGCTTGGGGAGTGGGAGGGTAAGGAAGTGGGGTTCCCAGTCCCTTCTCTTACCCCATTCTGGTCTCTAGGCCCATTCAGCACTCCCCACCCCCAGACACCTCCATCAAGAGCCTGCTCTTTGAGGGCTGGGATCCTAGGGTGGATGGAGAGGAACCATCGGGATCCAGAGGAAGGAGATGGTCTCACAGCTGCATATGAGCCTCGGGAATACTAAGGATCCCCCTCCCTTCCCACCACCATCATCGGACCCCAGTAACTGGCAGTCCCCAGAGTCTGCCTTGGCTCAGCTTGAAGGAAAAGCCCTACTTTTTTCGGCCACCCCCAGCAGGAAATTCTCGCCAACCAGCATTGCTCTGGCGTGGAGTTCAGACTTCAGGCGCCAGCAGACGCCCTTAGCTTGGAGGGCCCGGCTCTTCTGAAGGCATAGCTGGTGAGCTCACAGCTTCCTTTCTGAAGAGTAGGGGGCACCCAGTTCATATCCCAGGCCTGGGCAAGAGGGCACCAGAACCTGGGGTCTCAGAGCTAGGACTTTCCGGGGTGAGAGAACCCCTCCTACTCAGCCCCCTCCCTACTACTTAGGTCTGGGTTTCTTCTGGCCTGGCCTAGCAAAACACCAAGGGTTGCCTGGGCGGTCAGCCACTGGACAGCAGGGGGCCACACAGGCAGTGTGTGGCCATGTGTGGGGCGGGAGTGCCCTGGGCCTTTTCCTTCCATCCTGGCTTGGCTGGCAGCAGCCACCACCTTCCCAGGCCCAGGCTAGCCCTGGGCCCGCCCCTTGGGAGTCACCATTCTGAGACAGGGGTACCCCAAATAGGGTATGGGCGTGGCTTCCGTTTCCTTCCCAGAATCCCCATAGTCCCCTGTCTGTCCAGCTGGGCTCTAGTGAGGACAGAGTGAAGGGCACTATCAAGGCCCACCTGTCTCTGCCCATCCTACCCCCTCCCCGCCCCTTTCCCTGGCAGGGCTGGTGGACTGAAGGGAGTCAGTCTTTTATTCCTTCATTGCTTGTGTGTGTGTGTGGAGGGAGGCGGAATGGATGCGTGCAGGGGAGACTGCTCAGCCTGCCAGGTGGCTCTCAGATCAACCCCACCAATACACACATACACCTGCCCCAGACATACCTATCTGGTACCTCCCAGGAATGACTGCGGTGTGTAGTGTGAGGAGTCTCCAGCTGTGAAGCATAAACCTGGGATTGAACCCTTGTCCCTCCACTTACTAAGTGGGTGATCTTGGTTGGGCAATCACTTAGGTACCCGGAAGCTATTTTCCCATCTACTACTATCCCCAACCTCTTAGGGTGGTCGTCAGCCTGCAGTGTGAGAACACCTGGAAAGCAGCTGGCAGATGGTAAGCAGTCAGTAAACAGCAGCTATTAGTGGTTTTATTCTTGGCCCCTCCCTCATGCTGGGGTCAGACAAGTTTCTCAGGCAGGCCTGGGTCACAGAACTGGCCTAGGAATTAACTTAGATGGTCTCAGTGCAAGCCCAGGGTGAGAACAATGAGGGCACCCTCTAGTTCTAATGGGGGAACTGTAGAGGTCCAAGCCACGGGGCGTACTGAGACAAGCAGGACCAGCCTTACCCCAGACGGCACAGCTCTGAGACCCCTCCCACAGGTACTGGGGAGGACACCCAGTGCCTGGGCAGGTGAGAGACCCTGGAGCCTAAGCTCCCTTAGCCTTGTGGTAACTCAACTTCTGTGAGGCCTGTAGAGACAGTCAGAGACTAAGACTCTCTACTCAGAGTAGAGAAGTGTGGGGTCAGGACATTCTGCTCTATAGAGGGGCTGAGACCCAGACTTGGTTATTGAGAGGTAGAAATCCAGAATCACCCCGGGGGAGAATGAGCAATACAGAGACACCCAAAACATAAAGACAGCTGCTGAAATGGCAGGCACTTTGCCTCTCCTAAAGTGCTCTCCCACCATCTTGGAGCTCACAAAAGGCAAACAGGATCGGTACCGGCCCACTTTACAGCTGAGTCCAGGGGCTAGGGGCAGGGCAGGGGTATGCCCAAGGTCATTTGGTATCAGAGAGCCCAGGCTCCCTGCTTCCTAGCCTGGACCCTTTTCCTGTTTCTCTCTCCCTAGAAATGCTGCCGTGGTGGTGGAAGGGTGGTCAACATACAAGACCAAGGGGACAGGAGATGCTGGGGGACACCTAGCACGGGAGCCTGGCCCGTCTCCCCAGCCACCGGTCCTGTGATGGAAGATACCCAGAGGCCTTTCCAATTACCCATGCCAACCATTCAACCCCTTTGTCCCTTCCCCCTCCCCCCCAAGGTCCAGGCGGACCCTAGCCAGGCCCCACAGCTGTGAGTCAGGATCAGAACAGACCCCTCCTCCAGCTCCCAGGAGTTGACAGGAGATTTAGGGGAGAAACGGATCTCCACCACGCCATCCCCCTGCTACCAGGCACCAACCCCAAACCCTAAATCTTCACTCCCCTCCTCCCCCCCAGGGCCTGGGAGTCAGGGCAGTTTAGGGGAAGAGGGAAATGGAAAGCTGGACCCAGCAGCTGCTCTGGGGACAGGAGAGGAACAGTTCATTCACCCTGGGTCCCCAGGGCTGCGGCAGTGCGGCCAAGATTTGAGTTTAAAAATAAGTTGGGGCTGTCTTGGTGTATGCCTGGGGCTCCCTCTTGATCTCAATCTTACTGTCTCAGGTCCTCTGTCTCTTGGGGCTGAGCTGGCCCAGAGTTTCTGTTTCCCTGAATCCCTGCTTCCCAGTCTTTGGGGCCTACATCTCCCAAGGTCTGTCTTGGAAGCCGTCAAGGAGCCTCGTTAAGTCTCAGTCTCTGAGCGTCTAGCTCTGCTCGCACGGCTCCTCTCTGCGCCTCTGCACATTTCAGCAGCCGTCTTCACGTTCTGGGTGTCCCGGTATCGCTCATTCTCCCCCAGGGGTGACTCTGGATTTCTACCTCTCAACACTCAGGTCTGGGTCGCAGCACCTCTATAGAGCAGACCGTCCTGACCCCCACATTTGTCTACTCTGAGGGTCTCTGCCTGAGAGCCCGGTCTCTGCCTGTCTCCACAGGCCTCCCAGAAGTTGAGTCGCCACGAGGCTAAGGGAGCTCGGGCTCCAGGGTCCCTCACCTGCCCCAGGAGGGGCCCCGCGGCGTGTCCGCCGGGGTCACTGTCTGCTTTTGCATACAATGCTTCCCACAGCCCGGGTCTGCCCTCTGCCTCGGGTTTGCCTCTCGCTGACTCTCCGCCCTAGCCGGCTCCGGAGAGCTCCGCAGCCCCTGTCTCAGCCTGCCGCCCGCGCCGGCCTCCCCGGGAGCCTCGGTTTCTCCCACCCTCCGGGTCGATTCTGGCTTGGCCATTTCAAACTTGGCCCCCTCCCCCGCCCAAGAGTCGCGGCAGCCCCGCCCCGCCCCGCCGGGCAGTCGCGAGCGGAGCCGTGCGGTCCGGGGGCGCCCTCCGCGGCTCCGGCGAGCGAGCACCCCGCGGCGGGCGGACCCCGGGGGGGCGGCGGCCGGCGCGGACCTTAACCCTTGGCGGGCCGTCTCCGCGCCTTCCCCGCCCGAGGGCTGGGGGCGGGAGCCGGGCTCGGCGGGGACCTCACCTCGCGGGCGTCAGGAGCGGGGCGCGGAGCTCGCGCGGGTGGTGCCGGCGACCGGGAGCCGCGTCCCTCCGCTGCTCCTACCTGCGGGCCGGGCCGGGCCGGGCCGGGCCGGGCCGTGGCTGAACGAGCTGCGGGCGAAGCTGCCGGCTGCAGACGGACTGTGTGGGCGAGTGGGAGCGCGGCCCCAACCCCTCCCCGAGGAAGTGAGCGCCGGGGCCCGCCCCGCCCGGACCCCGCCCCCGGCCGCCCCTGCCCGCAGGGTGCGGACCCCGCCCCCGGCCCCCCACTCCCGAGGCTGGGGGCCAGACCCCGCCCCCACCTCCCTTGTACCCTGGAGCCCGCCCCAGCGCCCGCCGCCCCCACCTCCAGCCCAGCCTAACCTGGCGCTCCCGACCTTCCTGGGCGGCCAGGACCCAGTCCCTGTCCCCGGCCTGCAGCTTTTGCTGTCCGCGTCTCCCTGCACCCCTGCCCCAACCCACCGCTCCCTTACCTCCAGCTGCAAGCTGGAAACTGTTATATTCAATTCCAGACAAGGGGTAAAGCTGATCAAGGTCCATTTGCGATCCATCCCTCCCTCCCTTTTACCCCCGGGAGTTAACACTCAGTCTGAGTTTGTGAAGCAGACCTTAATCCAACCTGAAGGAGAGGGTGGCTTTGCCTCTGCGGTCCTGGCTGTCAGTGGGACGTGATCTCTGGGACCCTGTAGTGAAGAGAGGACCCCCCTACAGTGCTGTGACCTTCAAAGGACTTTATTCCACAACTCTTGAGCAGCAAAGTCAGAAGTAAGCACCTTCTGTGTCCTGGGATGAAGTCCCACCTCTGTTTCCAGTGCTCAGGAATAGCTTTGACCTTTGAGGCTCAGGGGAGACCCTAATCCTTGGCCCCATGATCTTTGGGCTTCTCAGGGAGGGGTGTGAGGAGTGTGCTGAGATGGGGCCCTGCAGGGGTGGAAGAAAGTGGAAGGGACTCCTCCCTTTCACCCCCCCACTCTCTTCACCTCCGAAGTTTCCAGCCCTTTGGCTTCCTCCCAGTGCCCGCGAGGGGAACCAGTGCCTGCCAGGGACAAAAGGCCCCTCTAGGTCCTTGAGGCCACCCCGCCTGGGATCCTCCGGCTTGTCACTGGGAATAAATAGCTTCAATCTGGGTGGGGGAGGGAGAAGGAGGCATTGATGTACTGTTTGCAAAACACAACCAACCAACCCTGGAAATAACCTTAGTGCCTAGAGTAGAGATTCAGGTGTCCAAAGGGGCTCTCCTACCTCCCAGCTGCGCGCACCCAAACTCTCTGAAACTCATTCCCTACCAGGCAGGGGCTCCTGAGTACCCTCTTCTCCCATTTCTGAATCAACCTGGGTCCCAAGTCACCCTCAAACCAGGTTTTTTTTTCAAAATTAATTAATTGCTGGTTGTTACTGCTACTGAACTGTAAGTGCCATGAGGACAGGCCACTTCTTGTTCACCTACTCCAATGCCTTGCACATAATAAGTATCAGACGAATGAATGAAGGACAGACATTGTTCAATTTAATTTGCGCCCCACCCCCCTTCTCGTGCTCCCCCCAGCACTGGCACCTGCTACCTGCAGTCCAGGAAGTGATCAGCTAGCCTGTGGGCCCTTTCTCTGGCACTTGTCTTGCAGGTGTAGGGGACTCCTAGCCCTGGGGACTGTGGAGAAGACTGACTGGTTGGAGGAGATGACTGGAGGCCAGTGTTCTGGGGGGAGGGGAGTGAAGGAGGGAGCAGCCTTCAGAGAGAGAAGGGTAAGGAGTAAGGAAGGTACTAGATAAAGGCAGAGTTGGCGTTCTGATTTTTACTCATGGCTTGAATCTTTGCTAAACAGCCACTATTTCTGAGTTCTTACTTTGCCTCAGTCTCTATTCAAACACCTCACATATATGAATGCACTGATTATCCAAAACTTTATGAAATATGTATCTTTATTTCTGTTGTAAAAAGGGGGACTCAGAGAGAGTAAGTAACCTGTCAAGGGTAACACAGCTAATAATGGCAAAGCTTGGATTCAAATTCAGACCAATGTCAAAGCTCCTTATACAAAATAAATAAATTAATTAATTAAAAGAGCTTAACCCTTAGGTTCTACAGGCGCTGTGGCTCTTTAACCTCTTTAAGACTCAATCTACTCATCTGTTAAGAGATGTTGACTTTGTCACAACGTTCTTGTGAAGACTAGATGATAGCACATAGTAGGTAGTCATTATGGGGGACTCTACACCTCCCAGCCTCTCTTTATTGGCCAAGAGTTAAGGTTCTGCTGCTTGGGCTTGGTGTCTGGAGGTCAGAGAAAGTTAGAAGATTACTGACTTGACCCTGGGGGGAGGCAGCTTAGCCTAGGGCAGGGCTGTGTCCTTTCCCCTCCTGATTCCCAGCTCTCCAGTGGGCTCACATTTCTCTCTTCACTCTATTTCTGTTGACCCAGGAGGACGTGCCTCAGAGAGGTCTAGGGATCAGTCACATGGACTCCCTGTTCCTGTTCCCTATTTGTCCTCCCCCCTCCCCAGGGGGACAGGTGTATCTGAGGCAGGGCTGGAAGCAGGGCCTGCATGCTGGAAGACTGGGGGTGGGGTGGGGGGGTGGGATCTTGTTATCTCTTCATTCACCCAGGAGTCCCTGAGGCTACAGCCTTCTTTACCTTGTGGTGGAAAGGGGGCTTCCTCAGAATCAACCAGCTGTTCTCTCACTTTGGAAGGGTTTTCAAAAGGAGGCCTTGGGTGCTGACTGACAGGCCTCTCATGCTTTTCTCTGGGTGCTGAATCACTCTCTGATGCTTGTAACCACAAGCCCTCCTTCCCCCAGTGAGAAAACTTCCTTCCTTCTTTGGGTGTATTGCTCAGTCTTACCCACTGGGCCCCTGAACACTTCATGGCTTAGCAGACACCCTCTCAGATTATACAGAACATTTTCCTCATGATCCAAGCCTGGCAATGGGTGTGTGGATGCAGAGGTTGAAATGAGCAGGGGATGAGAGGGAACAGAGCTCAGAGAGGGAACTGGTTACAGGCAGACTATGTGCAGGGTACCATGCTAAGTGTGAGTCATTACCTCTTTCATCCTCACAAAAGCGTGATCATTGTTTTTACCTCACATCAGAGGTGCTGAACAGGCTCAGAGAGTTGGACGATATGGCCTCAGGTCACAAGCTGATGGGTGGTAGATGTGCTACTCAAATTTGGGGCTGACTTCAGGGCCCCCACATCCAGTAGATATGCCTGTCACTCCATGTCTTCTTCAGGAGAAGTGGCAGGAGTAACTGGAGATACCATTTAGTTGCTGTGATTGTTAGGGGGAAATGATGTCCTGAGCTAATCCCATATAGGGGTTGCTCTACAACATGACTGAATTTCTTTTTTAATTTTATTTTTATGTAGAAGAACTAGGGTGTAAGCCAGAGGTGTGTGGGGGGTGTGTGTGAGAGAGGATTCACCAGAGACAGAGTGGGGAGTAGAACAGGCAGATGTACTGAAATACACTGCTCAGGGAGCAGCAGGTGAGGCAGGAGGGGGCTGCTGTGCCACATGTGGGTTAGCTCCCTGGCCGGGGATTGAATTCAGGCTATAGCAGTGATAGCACTGAGACTTAACCCCTAGACCACCAGGGAGGTCCAAGATGGCTGAATTTCTTAATGGAGAAGAAGCTGGAAAGGTGGGAAAGGTTAAGTAATGAATGAGACAGAATTTTATTACTGTATGTGGCTCAAGTTGAACAAGGTTCAGATTCAGAGGCAGAAAAACACTTTTCACAAGGCAGATCTCAGCTGCTTTCAGCTCTTCATGCCCATTGGTCCACAGGACCAGCACTTATGGGGGCTGAGGAGATTTCCCCAGAGCTCCTCAGCTGGAGGGGTGAGCCCTGTCATGAGAAATGGGTGCAACTACTGGACTCACTGAAGGTTATTGTCACATGGGGCGGAATGGGGGGCTGGGAACCAAATACCCTGTACATAGTTGGCCTTTAACCAGTTACCTCTCTGAACTCTGTTCCCCCTTACCATAACCCTGTTTATTTCATCCTCTGTGTCCACAGACCCATTGCCAGGCTTGGGTCATGAGGAAAATGTTTCTGTATAATCTGAAACAGGGTGTCTGACAAGTCATGCAGTGTCATATGGGGAGGGGGATAGAAACCAAATGCCCATGGGGTTGGGCTCTGCTGTGCCCAACCCCCTCTCTCCTTAGAGGTTAGTTTAATAATAATAAAAATAACAATAATAGCTCCAAGTTAATTATGAACTTGCTGAAGGGTGAACACAGCCATAAGCACTTTAAATGTATTGCCTCATTTAATCCTCACAATCCTGGGTATGGTATTATTATTACCTCTGTGTTACTTTAGGGGAGACCGAGGCTCAGGGAAGCTAACATTGCCTTGGCTGGCAGCAGCTGGGATCAGAACACACCTCCACTGCAGATGACATATTATATTGTACCGCCTTGGCCATTCTGTCAGTCACTCCCTTGAGGGTGTGAGGGATCAGAACTTTACAACTACTGCCACTATGACTCCTCAATTCAACAGTGAGCCCTTGGACAGCCCTATGAGGCAAGCAGAGCATGCTATTATTATCTCCTTTTATGGATTAGAAAAATGATGCTCATCAAAGTCAAGTGACTTCTCAAAAGTCACAGAGCCAGTAAGTGGCAGAACCGGGCATGGATTTTAGGTCTCTCATCTCTCTATGCAGCATTCTTCCAGGTATACAGTAAAATTCACCAGGCTCCTAACTTTAAAAGCGCCG